TTCTGCAGTCTCATGACCTCTGGCTATTTTTTTTTTCCTGAATGTTTCTTTATGTTTTTATGTTATACAAAATATCAAACTACTTTTGAAGCAAACCCAAACTTGGAAGTGCCTTCTTTGCAGCATCCTATTACCTGATAGTTCACATAATAAAAGAAACTGCATAATTTATGTGGTTGGTTGGTCAGACATTTTATTGGTGGACAGTTTTTGGCAAGAATTATACGCAGACATCTGGCTGTTATTCAGTTGCACAAGGTCATGCAAGCTTGGAGAGAAAAAGTAGGTTATAGTACTTGGAGCTTGCAACCCTCCAAAAAGAAAGAAAAAATTGAAATCGCATCATATGACCCCTTTTTTTTAAAATAATTTACTCATCATCGTCGCCCTCGAAAATCATTCCCACCTTCCTCCCTTTATAATGATCCTGCTCCTGATCAATGAAATAAACAGGTGCCCCATCCTAGAGGGTAGTTGGTACTTGGGTCCTTTTCAGAAACATATGGGGCTGATAAATATACTGGTCAGTTTTTAGGATACATTTTGAGGTTGTTAAAAGCATAATAACATTTTTCAAAGTACCTGCCAGTTGCAATGAAACAAACAGGTCATCATCCTACAGGGTGGTTGATACTTGGGGTTCCTGGGAATTTGGGGCCCTAAGGCATGTGCCACAAATTGCAACGTTTTCAAAAACTTTAAATGGATAGTTCACAAAAAAAAAATCATAATTTATAATTTAGTCATTCCTACGTTGTTCCTACCTTTCATCCCTAAACCACGATCCTGCTCCAGATTAATAAACAGGTGTCCCATCCTAGAAGGTGGTTGGTACTTGGGGCCCTGGGAATTTTGGGCCTTAGGGGGTGTGCCACAAATTGCAACATTTTCAGAAACATATGGGGCAGATAACGGTGCTCAGAAGTTTTAGGATAAGTTTGTGGCTGTTGAAACTGCATGATACAGCTTTAGAAATTATGTGTAATTTACATGTAGAAAATGCATTACAAAATTACACTTGAACTCTGTTGTATGGATTTGTAAGGAATTACATGCTAGATGAGATGGTGCTTATATAGGGCTGATAAAATTTCCTCTCAAAAGCCAAAGTCTCATGATAATTTTTATTTTTTTATTTTTTTTACAGGCTACCAAGAGTGCAGTTGTAGTCGACATCATACATATTGTGGGTGGATAGGGGATTGTTAAAAAAAAAGCTGTGATTCTGTGACAGTGCGGGGGCAGGAGCAGCAGGGAGTCGCATACGCACAGAAACACACACACACAAGCAAAACACACACACACCCCTCAGAACTACAGGAGCACAAATTCATCCCCCACATGCTCACTAATGCCTGCACTGTGTTGCAGTAGTAAAGCCAGCAATGGTTGGTGCAATATGCACAATTCCTATCTATCAGAGGTGAACGAAGAAATGAAGAGGAAACATTCTGGGTACTTTGCCAGTTTTAAACCTCTCCACAGTTTGTGTCTCTCCTCAAAGTTAATCTACTCTGCTGTGATTCCCAGGAAATGGTGGTGATTGAGCTAGAAAATCTCACAATGTTTAAAGTTAGTTATTGTTTTATACTCACATTTTTTATATTTGTAATTATTATTATTATTATTATTATATCATTATATTTTATATTTTACAATTTATTTATTTTATCATTAATTTGGAAAAGCTCACTACATAACTAAAATCAAATTTGCCTTCATCGGGATCAAAGTACCAGCTGCCAGTTGCAATAAAAACCTTAAAGGCATAGTTTGCTTTAAAAAAAAAAAAAAAAACCTTTCTTTTTAGATTTTAGATTTCAGATTTGTCATGACATTACAATAATTCCATACTGGCCGCATATTACTACCTATATAATATCTGTGTCTTAAATTTAACATGCTTTTAGTATCAAAGGTTTTGGGTATATTGGCAAGCATTTTGTTGGCAACAGTATCGACAGACCTTCAGAGTATCACAGAATTTGCCATTCAACTTGAACTGAAATTTGACTAGGATCACTCAATTTCTCTGTGCCCTGTAATAAATCGCACGTTAAAATTGAAGAACTGTTTTGTATTAGCCATGTTCTATTGTAAACATACATGAATTACTATATTTTCCCAAGATAGACATACATCGCCTTAGCCATTTCTGGAAGGAGTTGATTTTTATCGCCCAATTCAGTCCTGCCGGTGAGGCCACAAATGCATGTTGAAATAAGATACCACAAACTATGTTCAACATGGGAGTCTTGTGAATCTTATTTTCCAAGTATTGCTAGATTAATTCCTTGATAAAAGCTTTTAAACCCATGTCGTGTTTAAATATTTTGTTAGTGGGAAGTTTTATTTTGATTGTCCCTATACTGTATATTCACTGGTGTCCACCAGAGAAGCAAGAAAATATTTACTATTTTACAATGGCGACAACTCAGTTTTGTTTTGCTGGAGAAAGCACACAAATCTGCTTCAAATTTAGTGAGCTGCCTTGCTATCTACAGTACTGCCTACTATATAGACACCTAGCTTTGAAGGCAGTGTCTTAACCACAATGGAACCTCATAAGTAACTGATTTCAAACATTCTACTTGGCAGCAATTTTGGCCATCACACAAATAGCACTCCTCATTTGAAGAACAAAAATGGGAGATATGCTAGCATTTTGTGTTTGATGTTAGCATGATTCTGTGCTAACCACCCAGGGCTCTAACAAGCTAAAAAAAATGCATACTACAAACAAATATTGGTTAGAAAGGTCATTTTTTATTGAGTTTATCAATATGTTTTGGTATCAAATGGGATAGGATAAGTAGATTTATAATATCAACATTTATCTAAATTTGTCTGACAATTTGGATTAATTTTCCCCAATGCAGTGTTGCCTTAGATTTTGGCCAAAAAGTGTCTTAGAAGATCTTACCTTTGAGAACTGCCAAAGGAGTGGGTTCATGATGCCTTACAATGTTTTCTAACTTGGCACCTCACTACGTTTTGGAGTTGCCATTCTGCTTTGTCCACTAATTCATACTAAATTCCTAAAAAATCCCCTTCCCTCCGAATCTCTGTGCCATCCTCGCTTGGTGTTCTTTGGGTAAACATTGCCTATCAAACATCAAATCCGATTCCATTTACAATCAGCAGTTTTTTGCTTTGTCGCCCCCATTGCCGTGTCATCTGGATGGAAAGATAATTGAGTTTCGCTGCTTCATGAATACATTGATGCCAGCAGAGCCTTTTAAAAGCCTGGCTGTGTGCAGAACTCTGACTATGACCTGTCCTGGTCCACTAGCACTCTGTGTTTGGTATCAAATGGGATAGGATAAGTAGATTTATAATATCAACATTTATCTAAATTTGTCTGACAATTTGGATTAATTTTCCCCAATGCAGTGTTGCCTTAGATTTTGGCCAAAAAGTGTCTTAGAAGATCTTACCTTTGAGAACTGCCAAAGGAGTGGGTTCATGATGCCTTACAATGTTTTCTAACTTGGCACCTCACTACGTTTTGGAGTTGCCATTCTGCTTTGTCCACTAATTCATACTAAATTCCTAAAAAATCCCCTTCCCTCCGAATCTCTGTGCCATCCTCGCTTGGTGTTCTTTGGGTAAACATTGCCTATCAAACATCAAATCCGATTCCATTTACAATCAGCAGTTTTTTGCTTTGTCGCCCCCATTGCCGTGTCATCTGGATGGAAAGATAATTGAGTTTCACTGCTTCATGAATACATTGATGCCAGCAGAGCCTTTTAAAAGCCTGGCTGTGTGCAGAACTCTGACTATGACCTGTCCTGGTCCACTAGCACTCTGTAATATTAGACTGCGCTAAGACAAATGCATAAAGGCCTTGAGTGCTCCTACTGCCTCTCAGTACCTCACACATACACATACACTCATTTGCGCTAAAAGAAAGAACCATGTGAGTGGGTAGAGAGCGCAAGGGACTGAAAGGGTAGAACCCAGAAGGAAAAACAGGGGTGGATATAATTGGAGAGAGTGATCGAATGTGACATGGAGAAAGAGGGAAGTTAAAACAGAGAGGATGATGAAAGGCGAGAGATCTACAGTCTCTTATTAATATCAGCCTACCACTTCAAAAGCAAAACAAAAGCCCCTACTGTCAACTACATCCACATATTTTTCAATCAAAAGGCTTGTAGAGTCTTAAATCTGAGGCTTTAGGTAGGCCACTGGCGGACTGGACAACCCTGCTTTCCTTCATGGGAAAATGAACCCATTAAATTCTGGTACAATTTGTCTTGTCTAAAACTGGAAAGGAAGTTCATTTTCAGAAGCGTGACATACCACACAAAGGTGCACTTAGACATACTTTTTGAAGGTATTTACAGAAGCTGCATTTACATTGAGCCTAATATTTTGAAAGCTTTCTTGGCACATTTTAAGATATTCTAGAAATTGTGACAATTATGGTGTGTCATGCTGTGCTTCCTAACATCTGCAGTCAGCTGACTTGCTTTCTCTGACAGAACCATTCAGAGGGCTCAAAAGCTTCTAACTGTTATGTCAAAACTGACACTAAATTGACAGTAGTTTGTAGATGGGGCTCCACCGCAAGTTTAGTAGAGGGTCCAAGAGATTTGCAGGAGTTAGCCTGAACAATTCCATAGCTACAACAGGTCATAGAACACCACCGCAATAAAGAGCAGTAAATGTACCACACTGATAGCTGCATGACTGTGTCTGTCATGTCTGTGTGTGTCACATGTTGGGTGTCTCAAGTCACTGTGTGTCCCACCCTCCCCCTCTGGTTGTCTGGTAACACTTGAGTCCATCCTGGAATGGACAGTAGGGGCTTAGGCCCCGAGACAATCACTTCATCTCTTTCTCTTTGCCCTGAGGGGCACAGTTGATGAGAGAAAAGGGAGGGAGAGATTGACATTGACCCACCCCTAGGCCACACCCCCCTGAGCTGGAGGACAAGGTCACATGGTGCCTGGGCTGCAGGCTGACTCTTAGTTTTCTCCTCCTTTCTGCAGTGAAGAGCCACCCTCCCCTTCTCCCATTGCAACACCATCACCTGCCGCATCGCCACCACCTGGGGTGACTTCCACCAGTGCCATCCAGCCCGAGGTCCAGGTGGCACCTCAGGTTGCAGGGAGCACCGTGACATCTGTCGATACAGGAGGGGGAGATGGGGATAGAGATGGAGGTGAAGCACAAGAGAGAGGGAATGCAGAGGTGGAGAAGGAAGATGTGAGGGTACAAGTGATTGAAAAGGAGGAAGAAAAACCCCAGGCTCACCCACCACAACCAATGCAGCAAGACGTTAAAAAGGAGACAGAGGAGCTGGAAAAGGAAATAGCAAGTACAGGAGGCACAGGAAGGAGGCCAAGCTTGCATCACACTGCTTCGCCAATCAGAGTGCAGAGGAATGGAGCATGCTGCCACTCTACAACCTCCGACTATGAACTCTCGCTCGACCTCAAAAACAAGCAGGTAGGGAGCAAGGCACTGTGGGATTGCGGTCTTGAGGATGTGTGAATGTATGCTTCAGGCTCTTGAGGATTGGCTGTTGTGCTTCGGATGGTTGCTTTTAGTGGCTGAGTGTGTTGGAATATGTTGAAAATGGTAAAGGCCACTGGACTTTGCTGGAAGGTTTACAGGTTGATCATCCATCCTCATCTCATACACATCCATTACTATCTCCATCAGCTTTCTAACCTATCACAAGGCCTACACGGAATCTGCACTGAATTCTGTGGAATTATGGTAAAGTGTGTGAAACGGAATTGAAGAGTATTGGAGGCCATTCACTCAAGGTGTGTTCTTGCATTACAAACACCTAAATGAAATTGAACAGAAGGTGCATTTATAGCCATATCAACTACCATACACCAATAAATAAAAAGTTATTAAAACATTTTTAAAGCATTTAAGCTATTTTTAACTTGGCACAGAGTTTTAGAAACCAGGTACTTATGTCTAGTGCAAGTTTGCATAAGTCAAGAATGGTGGGGGTGGGGAGGGGGGACACAGATGGAATGCAAGAAAATTTTTTTGGTAAATTACCACATACACTTCAAATTAGTCACAAAAAATGCAAGGGACAGGATAAATCTATGGAGCTTTCTGTAAAATTCACAGATTCTATGCAGGCCTGCCTGCAATTCTTATTGTATTGTTTGGGGACCGAATATCAATCGATTAGCAATTTGCAACTCTCTAGTTTTGTACCAAAACCCAGTTAACTGCCTACTTGAATGGCTTTTTAAGGAATCATACATTTAGGTATGCTCAAGAGAAACTGCTGTTCCAGAAGGTAGGCAGCATGCTTATGCTTATATTATGTTAGCCTCATTTGACCAAATACTAAAATACACTGCAACAAGCGCAGTGAAAAATCCATTCTGAGATGGTAGGTGAGTCAAGTAAAACATCAATTACAAATTTTATATATATTCACTATTTTTTCCCAATAATTTTGTGGGCTCTGTATTTTCTCACTTACTATAGTATCACATTGTTAGCTCAGCAAATTTCTAATTTCAAACTTTATTGGATTTGAGTCTTCTTTTTTTGTGCATTGTGCAGAATTGCTGTCTATACGGAATGATCCAAATTAGACACTTGTTAAACTCCAGGATACAGCCTATGTAGGCAGTAGACTGCATGTCAGCTCACTATGTTTTGGAACAGAGTTATATCTATACTGGGGCTCAATTAGAGCGCAGACATGTTTCTTTTCCGAATTTAATGCTGAACTGAAAACACCAAGGCAGCCTCATTCAGGGGCTATCAAAGGTTTGAGAGGGGTACATTTGAGAGATGAGATGACAGAGATAGAGAGGGCAAAAGCGACAGCAAGGTAGATGGATGGGAGGAGAGGATGAGAAAAGGTTGTGTTGTTATGGTAACACAGATGTTCTCTTAAAATCTCCATCCTTCATTTGTTGTCATTTTCTTGCTGAGTGTTCATATTGCAAATTGCATTCCCCACCCCCACTGTTTTTGCTCAGAAATATCTAATAGAATTATGTTGGCATTACAAAATGACAGTGATTTATTCTGCTTTTAATATGAGTACAAAATCAAATTATATTTAAATAAAAATAAATTCTGAAAGAGTAGCGTTACAGATAATTTGGCAGAAAAAAAACAAACTTGATTACATATAGCTGGGGACAAAAAGGGAATTCAGGGAATCTCGGAATGCTAAGGTTTTGAGGAGGTCCAATTGCAATGAAGTAATTCAATCTTAAATTAAAATAATTAGAATGATTTCTAATAATAAATAATTACAGTGAATTTTAGAAAAGATTCTAATATTACAAACACATTTTTAATAGATGTTGGGAAGCATGCTAAAAACCACAATTACATATACCGTATATAATCAAAGTAAATTTCAAACAAAAAGTTATATTTAATTTATATATTTTAAATTAAATGAATAAATTAACTAATATTTATTTAATCTAATTAATTAATTAATTTTATTTGGGTCAAGTTGTCACTATTAATTTGTATTCATTATTATTCATTTTATGCAACACATTAAATTTAATTACTCTTCAATTTAAAATTGCTAAAAGGTTGTTTATTGGCAGGTTCACATTGTGAGAGGTTAAACCATGCAGTGTGACAACATACCCTATGGAACGATATTCCGGACTATTTTCAAAAGGAATTGCAAATTGTATTTTCAATTGCGTTTTCCATATGTGGATGCATAAATTGTGACATAATCCAAATGCAATTGTAAATCGTGCATTACCATTTGCATTTTCGCTTTCGCAAACGCACAGTGACTGCCAAATTTCAAATGAAAAAGCAAAGTCCATTTGCAACTGTATTTCCCATGTCTTAGGAGTTATGAGCCTGTCATATTTAAATAGCAATATTAATTACCACGTCTGCTTTTTCACTCTCGCTGCGTCACGCATGTAACCTGGCAAAACTCAAATGGAATCGCAATTCCTTTTGCATTTGAATTTCCGATGTCTACATGGAAAGCTGCCAATCATCATCAGGGGCAGGACTATACTATGGGGCGTGTTTGTATTGGGAGGTAACGTCACTCACAGACGACCGTGCCGAATGCTCTGATCAATGGAGGTAATGGGTAAAGGCTCCGCTAAAGGCAGCTACCACTCAGTTTCGTACCTGTGTGAACGAACAGACAGTGCAACCTTCTTGGCACAATACATAATTATGTCTTTTTTACCCCAAATGTAGCGATTATCCCCTGCTAACAGCGGGAGCCACAACGGTATGCACAATAAGTCAATATTCACTATTAACCAAACGCTTTTCACCTGTCTCAGAATCTTTCACTGTTTACACTCACTTACACTTTTAATCCGTAATAGAGAGTGTGTCACACCTGCCTCAAGACCTTTTA